CGGGCTCTCCCGGGCTCGGGCCCCCTCCCCTGCTTTCCTCCTCTCCCTTCCTCTCCCCTCTGGGTTCTCTCCTCCCCTCCCAGCCCCGCCCCTCCCACTCTCCGCTAACCCCAGGCTGGGGTGGGGGTCTTTGTTGTCACCCGGGCACTCGCCTCGCCGAAAAGCCGTCCCGCGCGTGGGAGGGGTCGCCCCGTCGGCGTCTTCGCGCACCCCCGCTGCCCCTTACGGGGGCAGGGGCTTTTCCCGGCACCCCTTTTCGCCCAGCGAGGTGGCGCACACCCCAAAGCTAATGTGGTTCTGGGCGTCAGCACCGGCCCGCCCCTCGCCTGGGCGGCAGCTCCCAGCTGTCTGGCCGAGGGGCTTCGCTTTTCTTGGGTGTGAATAGCAGGTCTGGCGCCCTGTCCTGGCGGGGGCCAGATGCGGACGAGACCCTCTGGACCTTACCCCCAGGGGGGCCACAGGGGGTGTGCGCGGCCCCCAGGTGTGTGGTCATTGGGGACCCAGGGCTCCTCAGTCTCCCCTGCTGCCAGACCTGGGAGGGTCTGGGGGAGACCGGCAGCAGGGGTAGGGTAGGGTAGGGTAGGGCCTCTGCGCTCCCTCTGCCGGGCGGGGCACCCTGATGGGGCTGTCTCTGCATTCCCCAGTTACCTTCAAGGCGTTTCTCAGCGTGTTATTGGGGTACCCTTAGGTCAGTGTTAAAGCCACCCGGCCACCTGTGCTGCCCTGCAGGGCGCAGGGGCCCCGCGGTGGGCGTCTGGCCGCGGCCGCCCCGGGTGCCCAGGTGGGACTTAAAGGCAGTGCTCTGCCCCTGGAGCCAAGCTGTGTGGGTACCTGTCCCCTCACCCACCCTAGCCACCCCTGCCAGCTGTCCCCGCTCCGTCCCGCTGGGCTGAGTCACCCCACTTCCTGTGTGGAGAGATGGGTTCCTCTCTGGGGCTCCAGGGGAGGGACCAGTGTTTGCCCTGGGAGCGGGCGTTGCCCCAAACCTGCAGGGTGTTGGGGGCTGAGAGGCCAGTGTCCCCCACAGCAGTGCCTGGAGCCTTTGCCGCCGCCCCCCGCAGCCTCACCCTCGGGCTGTGTGCTCTTCTGGAGGGTGGTTCTGCGGGGCGTGGCGACGCCTGTGGGTGTGTAAACAAGTGGTTTGTTCTCGCAGTGTCACCGCTGTGGGCCGGGTGCCCGAGCCTGGGCAGGACCCGGCAGGACCCTGTCCTGCTGTGGGTGAGGAGGGCGGAATGGGACGGCCCTTTCAGGTGCCACCCGAGAAGCAGGAAGACCAGGAAGACTGCCTGGACGAGTGGCAGGGCTCAGTGACCGCGGAGCGGGCAGCGAGGGTTGGGCTGTGCAAAGGCCCTGTGGTGGCCCCACCTGGTCAGTGTTAAAGCCACCCGGCTGGGCTGGCCTGGCGCTTGCTCTGCCTGGAGCCTTTGCCGTCCTCGAGTGGGCGTGGGCTCGGCGGGTCTGCCCTGGAGGCCAGAGTGTCTTGCCTCCTGCTGGGGCTGGTGGGGACAGCTCCACTGGGCTCAGTGCCACCCTGAGGCTGTGAGGGCGCTGCGAGCCTCCCGCTGCCCAGAACCGCCCCGGCCAGTGTGGCCCGGCCCGGCCAGCAGGTACCGAAGCCCCAACAGGGCGGGAGTAGCCTGGTGGCTTGGTGGCCCCTCTGCCCCTGGTCCCTACGGCAGGACATGCGCCTGTGTCACGTGCGTGCGGGGTGGCCACCCCCGGGCTGTCTTCCCAGCGCCTCTCAGGGCTCTTACCGGCGGTGCCGCTGTCCGGGGGGGGCGCCGGGGCGGCGGGG